GTAATAGCTACGTAGCGCAGTGGGTGGGAATGGGGTTTTGGTTTGTCTGTTTTTTTACGTGATGCTGAACGTTGCAACTTCAGTTCTGCGCTTCAGTTCGATACATACGCGGCAACCGTCTCGAGGGCCCTCATCACAATCCTCGGCTTACTGGGTTTACTCACAGCTGGGAACTATATATTCAAAACTGAGAGGAGGGGGAGGTATCGAGTGTAACGGCCGGCATTCGGTGCCCTCTATAGCAAATCACCACAGCAGCTCTTCCCGTGAAACTGCTTCTAAAACACCCCGAAACAGAGCTCTTTTCGGACGGGAAAAGAGGGGGCGGCAAGGCAATAATTTGTGCCGCGGGCCAAGGATAATAAATGTTATTATTGAAATTAGCTGTACCCTTTCTCTTGCCTAGCATCACTGGATTGTGCAAAAGTGGAACGTTTATGGCATCGATTCATGGGGATTCAACAGGTCAAGAGAAAGACGTATATTATAGCTATAATATACCTCGTATGTGTGTGATAATAAAGGAAAACGGCTCTGAATTTGCAGGATGAGGCTGAAGGGGTGGTTGATTCCGCTCAAGTACATGCTGTGAGTATGAGGCATAGATCGAGGAGGCATAATCCAAACAGCGGTGAGTAAATAGCGGGGAGTTGGTCTTGTGAACCAGACAGCGTGTGTTCCCGTCACGAAAGTGGCAGAGGAAAGCATCTGGTTCACAACCTCTTTTTGTATGGCTAGTATTTAATAAACCATCTGAGCTACAATGTTTATATGTACTCATGATGTGTCATATCTTTAAACGCTCTCTGATTTTCTATCTACTTTCTTAGGATCAGTACATATACATCCACGAGCTCTATAAGAGACCTATATAACCACACTGTGATGATGATGAGGATGGATGCTGGGACAGACAACATGCATGTCGTATAGCGTTATATACTACATTCCTATATAAATGTTTTTTTATTGCAACCATCTGCCTGTGCTAAATATAGTCGCACACATTCAGATGTGGAAGTATACAGCATGCAAAACAGGTAGAGTGTGCAGTATATACATTGTGAATGCCTAGTAGCTATCCTGACTGCCAGTATGCAGTGCCGAACGTCTGAATCTGTAGGAGACTCTTAGATCACACGCCGGCATAGGGAGGCAGGCAAGAGAGTGCACATGCCTAGTAGCTATCCTGACTGCCAGTGTATGCAGTGCCGACGTCTGAATCCCCCAGTAGGAGAGATTTAGTCACGCACGCTGAAGCAGGCACATGAGTGTCACATGCTAGTAGCTATCCGGACTGCCAGTATGCGGGCCGAACGTCTGAATCCCCCAGTAGGAGCTTTAAAGTCCGCACGCTGGACGCAGGCTAAAGAGTGCACATGCCTAGTTAGCTTCTATCTGACGTGCCATATGCAGTGCCGCACGTCTGAACTCCCCCAGTAGGGAGATTTAGTCCCGCACGGCTGGAAGCAGCAAGAGTCAAACATGCCTAGTAGCTATCCTGACTGCCAGTATGCAAGTGCCGAACGTCCTGAATTACCCCAGTAGAGATTTAGTCCGCACGGCTGGAAGCATTCAAGATGGGCAAACAGGCCTATAGCTATCCTGACTGCCAGTATGCAGTGTCCCGAACGTCTGAATCCCCCATTAGAGATTTAAGTCACTCACGGCGGAACCGACTCCAAAAATGATCACCAGACTGTAATGCCATTGATAATGTTACAGCTTCTTTCAGTCTCTGCCTACATACTGTACGCCACTTACACACCCACATACACAGTGCATGGGTCTGCTTTATTAACACCACACCAGCTTGCTTACATCACAAGGCCTATATAGCATGTAGTGTAAGATTCTGACTCTCTGTCTTTTTCAGCTACAGTCAGTTTTATAGACGGTGTACTTTTCTGCCTGAGGGTCGACATGAGCACAGTCAAAGAAGACAAATGCAGCATCATTGTAGCTACAATGCTCTATAATAGCGCAACCAAGAGAAATGTTATATCCGTACGCTGAAGCATGGCCTGTCAGGTAAAATGTTATTAGTCACACTCGACTTGATATGTAGTTGTGCCAGTTGCAGTGTCTGGTTGCAATTCGCATGAGTTTTCTACGAGATCCTTGTTGTAAGAGATCTAGAATGTTTATGATTGGTATTATATAGAAAATGACCATTGTTCCGTATACTCTACTGCTGTGTGGTTCTTTTTAATATACATAACTATTCTGTGTTACGTGATGACAACAACTATGTATACTACAAACCTACATATTTGTACGGAATACAAGTAAAGTTGATGAAGGAGAGCTAACGTACAGACGGTGAGTAGCGTGAAAGTATGCAGACGTGCAACCATAGAATGTACCACTGAAAACTATGACCGAGTTATCATTCCGCGGCCGAGTCATGTCGCCATGCTATGTCGGTCTGTGTTGTCTCTACCGTGCTGTTTGCTTCCGTAATGAGCTGGTGTCTTGGGGGTGAAGAGACTGGGGTGTGCCGGGTCCTGCTGAGTCGACAGTTTCGCTCCGGACCACCTGCGACGGTGTGGCAGCTGGAGGACACGACCTTGGTGCCGGACGCAGTCGCCGTGTGGTGACGAAGTGTGATTTCGGCAGATCTTGAGAAAGCTTCCGCATGAGGCCCTGTGTGTGTGTGTGTGTGTGTGTGTGTGCAGAGTTGCTAAATCAAACAAAATGCTGCTACAGATCAATAATTACGCTATGACGTAGTACATTATGCCTATTCCGACTGAATGCTTGGGTGTGCATGCACGTGCTTTGAACAATGGACACTGCAGCTGTAGCTTAGCCCACGATGTCACTGCATCGCCAGTTGGTGGACGGCGAAGAATAAGAAATGACAAAGGCCAGACATGCTCGGGGCGGAACGATGCAGCCTAAACCCAATTAGAGGATAATTACCGATTGTCTACAGACCACTCAGTGCAGCTCTAGGTAAGAAGGCGAACATCACCGAAAAGGAGTCCCTGGTTTGGAGACACTAGGTTTGTGGCCGGGGCACTTATGTGGTATTAGACGCAGTATATATACTCGTGAGAAGGTCACGAAGATTACTGGCAACGTTCAGAGCGGCTGCATCGGAAAGCCAAACAAACAGATGGTTCGCATTTTGGATAAGTTTTAACAGTATATACAATGGAGTAAGTGTCTCCTATATGGATGGGAAAGGTCACAAACGATTAAATCAAACGAGTTACCCTACTGAAGAAGCAGTTTTTTTAAAACAAAGCTAAGCATATCCCCAGTTGAGGTTTAATTGAGTCAACAATTCACAGAGAGAGGGTGAGGATGAGAGTAGGAGGAAATTGGAGGATTATATGGGTGGTTATCCTCATCTCTTCCCCTTTCCCTACTCCCTTTCTCTGCCTAATCAAGTATGTGCCAGGTAATGGATTAGACTGCCAAAATTTGTCTCGCAACATTAGGCCGCGCAGTGGCTAACACAAGAGTGACGAGCAAGGTGGCTTTGCTGGCAAACCCACAATTCCCGTGTCTGCTTCAATTTCAAGGTCTGTTGCCTTTTTCTGTAGGAGATATCCTCTCCCTTTCCCCTCCCCTGCCTGCCTCTCTATCCTCACATTACCTCTTACATCACCTGTAGCCACTACAGCGATTACATGCCTGATTTCCTGACAGTTTCGCTCATTGAGTCAGGTTTTTCCGCTGCATTGAACAAGCTTTAATGCATGACTGCCAGCAAGTAATGTTTTGTGAGAGGTAAGCCTGCGTTTAATAAATGAAAGGCACTGAAGTGCTAAACCCTCGGCGTGGAGCCCCACAGTGGGGCCTATGAGGCTGATACGCACACGTTACATGTCAACGAACCTGGCGGTAGCCTAATCAACCACGTGTGCGTGTATGCACATAATATGCTCTGGCCAAACACTGAGTGCATGTGCGCGGGCTGGGTGCGTGCGCGATCGATCGCTCATATACATGTGCATAATTAGGCTTTCTCGCTTGTTTTCACGCCATATCTCTGGAACGCAGTCATTTCAGACAAATCGCCATTTTAATTTTCGGGTCGACGTAGTTCTGAAGCCGTTGGTATCGCTCATGGGCCGCCTCGTAACGTGTAGTTCCAGAATAAGAGTAGACAGACGGACAGAACGACTACTGTAACCCTCGCTGCGCATGCGCGCGCCGAGGGTTAATTACAGTTTAGATATTATGCACTAGAGTAAATTGACAGGTGCACACAATACCTTTTCCATATCCGTGTGAAAATCCTCTCCCTCTTCCGCGATAGCCCCCCCTCATTCCTCTCCTAATTGGAGGGGCACCTCCTCCGTAGTCGCCGTAGTAACCACCCGTCATGGGACCGTTCCAGTCTGGATTGTGGACTCCAGGGGGAAACCCCTGTTGATTGTAGTTATTGTAAAAGTCTCCGGTCCCAACACTGGGAGGCATCATTCCGGGGCCGTTTCCATGGAAATTGGGAGGTGGGTGTGGTCCCGGGGGAGGGTGGAAGGAATTCTGATCGGGAGGGCCAGGTGGGTGTGGTCTCGAGTCTGGTGGCATGTGACCTTTGCCCTGCAGCAGGGGGAGTGACAGAATAATTATGACAAAGGAAAGGCAGAGCAAATTTGTTGAAAGACATTACACATTACAATTTTTAGGACTCCTTATGACACACTTACCCATGAAAAACTAACAGTGACAATTACCCACACAACCCATTCACGCGTAACCAAATACATGCGTAACTTGTTGAAATAAAGGCACATTAGAACCCTTGAGCCTTCCAAAGTAAACTATTTGTAATCATTTGACATGCGGAAAAAAGGTGTTATATATACATCATTGAAGGAGTTGATGAGTGACTGTGCCTGGTGGATGGTGGCAGCAGGAGATTGGAGGGGCGACCCGGCAGCTGCCGTCGTCATGTGGGGAGGAGGAGGAGCTCCGCCCACCTGGTGCGGAGGAGACGAGAAGGTCGGCGAACTCTGCTGCTGACCGTCCACTGTGGGCTGGAGGTAGCGAGGGAGGAAGGGAGAGGGAGGGAGGGAACGTGGTTAAATTTGAGAAAGTGCTTGAAAGAAGGAGGTTATATTTTAAAATGTGCAGAGGGCGAAAATGGTTAAATTTTAGAATGTGAGAAGCGGGGAGTATATAGGCGGCAAGTGGAATTTCAGGAATGCGCTTGAAGCAAGAAGGGGATTTGAGAGTGCACTTGAAACGAGGAGGTAAAGGAGAGAAGAAGCAAGAAATAGAGAGAGTGTCGATGAAACTAGTCCCTACAAGATCAGTTACCAAACGAAGTAGCGTCAAGTGGCAGAAGAGTGGAACAGGTGAGGTGGGGAGGAGAGGAAGGAAAAGGTTTTGGAGAACGTTGTTGAAATGAAGCTCACACGAAATATCTTCAAGACAGAAGACGAGTTACTGGGAAGTGGTGTCATAGGAAGACGCAAGAGGAGGAGGAAGTGTGAAGAAGTAGATCAGTGGAAGGGAGTGGCAATCCTACCACACAGCACAGATGCTAAAACAACAGAGCAATCATTCTCAACTTTCAATGAAAGAGTGGGCTGCAGCACTCCACCACAATCTCGTTACCCAGCCTCCACCCTCGAGAGCTAATCACACATTTGCACCTCTGCTTCCCTTACTGCGTGTCGACTAACACGTAAGAAGTTAACTCCTACGTGGCTACACAACCACAAAGACCGGCCCGGCAACTGTGCACAGTCACCCTGCACGGTGGAAGTGCGCAGTCGTGCTACACAACCACAAAGACCGGCCCGGCAACTGTGCACAGTCACCCTGCACGGTGGAAGTGCGCAGTCGTGCTACACAGCCACAAAGACCGGCCCGGCAACTGTGCACAGTCACCCTGCACGGTGGAAGTGCGCAGTCGTGCTACACAGCCACAAAGACCGGCCCGGCAACTGTGCACAGTCACCCTGCACGGTGGAAGTGCGCAGTCGTGCTACACAGCCACAAAGACCGGCCCGGCAACTGTGCACAGTCACCCTGCACGGTGGAAGTGCGCAGTCGTGCTACACAGCCACAAAGACCGGCCCGGCAACTGTGCACAGTCACCCTGCACGGTGGAAGTGCGCAGTCATACTACACAGAAGAACACCTGGAATAAATCATGCATGAGTGGCGAGGAAATATCTTTCGCACGCAATACCTTGAATCATGGGATTTGTTTCCACCCTGTGCATGTGACAGTTCCGACGTGCACAGCTGTGGGGCGCAAGAATTATAGAACAGTATTGACACAAACTGTGCAAGTGGATATCCGGTGCAGTGGATGTCAAAACTTGCTGCCCCAAACACACACCCTCCTGGTATTGTAAGCTGCAGCAGCAAAGTTGCAACATTCTTACTGCAGCAGGTGAGTATCAATACAGGTTTTTGCTACTGGCTTTTATTGAATTAACCCTCGCAGGCACAAGGCAAGTAGTGTAGGTGCTCCAAGTATGAAGTACTGCAGGTGAGGTAATAAAACATCTATTCCTCAGTAGCTACCTAGTCCAGTCAATATGTGTAAAATAGTCCATTGATGGCTTGTCACGTTAACCCATTCAACAACTCGTGGGCCCTTGAATGGATGGTTAACAACTTATGGGCCCTTGCACGGCTCATTAAGCATCTATATCCACACCTCATGTGCCTGGCTAAACCAGGAGGCACACACACACACATCTCAGAAGGGACAGATGGCCAGTAACCCTCCCTTTCTCCTCCCACAAACCCTCCTAACTGTACACAGTATGCGTTAAATAGGCTCTAACTGTAGTCAATGCATCGTTACAAATCTCTCAACAGGGTGTGTAATATTGTGCTCTTCTGCTCCAACCATTACTTTCTTTGTCAATGTGGTGATTGATTGACAGAGTTTTTTTTACTTGTCTCAAGAGAGAGGAGGGAGAATGAGACCATCTACTTCTGTCAACAGTCGAGCTAAGTACGGAGACTGGGAACTCTGCACCTCGAGTGGTTTTCAGTCGGACCAGCTATTGCCTGGGATTGTATGTAGTCAGTTCTTGGGGCACAGGGTTCCCAGTCTCCAAGTTAAACTCCTGGTATTTTCCATCCCCCTCTCTCATGACCTGATGCAACTCATCAGTGTCGTAAAATGTGTGAGAGGAGACGTAAGGAGACAATTGGAAGTACATACAGAGGGAGAGGAGGAGGAGGAGGAGGACAGACGATAACCTGTCAACCTAGCCAGTCGTCACGTACGTGCAGTCACGGTGGCTATAGGAGGGGGCACAAACAAACCGTTCAGTTACACTATTGACAGTTCACCAGCCTTACTGCCGGCCTGCCTGCCTACATGCACACACTGAATGTGTGTGTTCTCTTCCACGGACGGAGGCAAGTTGATTGAACTCCAGGCATTCCAGTGGTACGTCTAGTCAGCCGCAGACTAACAGACGGATACAATCGCCCCTTTCCTGTAGCTATGACATCATCGCAATATTCTTGATCTTCACACTTAATGATATGTCTGTGATGTCACTCCTGTCTCCTTCCCTCTCTCATTCTCTCGATCCCAGCCAACCACAGTTAGCACCTACTCAACTGCACGGTATGCTATAGATGCTGGCTACACAGCATGTGTACTGGAGATTCCAGACTCAACCGCAAGAAAAGAAAGCGGCAATGAAATTTCATCCACGTGTCTGGTATGCTAATGAGGTGTGATTGCGTGTGTGCGTGTGGCAGATTTTGTTGTATGTACACATAATATGCACAATACAGCAAACTATGTGTACACTTCATACGTGCCATCTTAATAACTTTAAGTAATGAACGATTAGAGGAGTTACCTCCATTAGTGGGATGTGTTTTGGTTCCGATTTCCCCGTGTCTGGTTCCGCATCGGGCTCTGCTGGGGACGGGTGGAGGCTGGGAGGAGAAAAACAAGAGGTGACTAACTTTCCAATGCACTCCTGCTTTCTTCTATATACAAGCCATCTATCGTAACCTCATACAGTTGAACTTCCAAACAAGGGACACTATGGGGTCGACGATTTTGATATGTTTTCCTATCTCGAAGGTCAAATAAGTATCAGCATGGGGTTGAAACAAGTGTCCTTGTAGAAAGGTCGTCCCTATCTCAAGGGTCCCTTATCGGAGGTCCCACTATATGTACGTCTATGATGCCAGGTATATACCATGTAGAAAACACCATGTGATGCCATGCACATCCATATAATACTAAGTACTACGTATATACTACCGTACTTAGCGATAAAATGCACCAACTACAAACTAGCCGTGAGATGGGAATGGTAGCACATACAATGTACATGTATGCAGAAATCGCGCATCTTGGAACTTTTACCACACGATGTAATCATAATACATAATTATTGTCTGAATGCTGTATACAGTATGATATGGACCTGGATTTGGAGAGGAAGAGTTGAGCCAAGACCTTCTCCTCCCTCTCAGCCTGAATCTTCCTCTGTTCACTGTTGATTCCGTAATTGACCAGCTCCACCACTGACTCATTCCGCTGTGGACGCTGCCACTGTAGGCGGTGAGGAGGAGGGGGAGGAGGAGGAGGAGGAGGAGGGAGGAGGGGGAGGAGGGAGGAGGAAGAGGAGGAGGAGGGAGGAGAAGGAGAAGGAGGAGGGAGGGAGGAGGGAGGAGGAGGAGGAGGGAGGGAGGGGGTGGGAAAGATTGCAAGACCAGAGAAAGAAAGAAAACAAATGCATCCTCTTCACTTACAGGATAAGCAGTGTCTTCCCGAACTGTGTGCATAAAGAATGTGACTCGTGCTAAGGTCCACGTACGTGTGTACAAAATGCCTTTCTTAAGTGATATACAACACCAGGTTTCAATGGCAAGCATAAATGACAACAAACAGAGAAACTGAAAGTGTGTTATCATTATTTATGTCGTCATGTGTGGGTGGATCAAAAGCGCCGCCACGCACTATATCGGGGCGAAATACCTGCAGCGCGGGCTATATCAACTTCCCATGAGTGTTATATCAACTTCCAGTGAGAGCGCTCGAGTGAGGGAGAAGAACAGGAGAAGGCCAGCGACGGTGAAGGGACTAGCGTGAGCACGGATGCAATGCGGCGGAGAAGCAGGAAAAAAACCGGTCGGAAAACTGGTTTAGGTCGAGACAAACAAGAATTTTTGCGCCATTATCCGTAGCATGCAACGCAAGGTCATGACGACATAAATTACCTATGTCATGTCCGTAGTTCCGTACGTTTCCGGAATAAATCACTCGGCCCTCGGGACTGGTGATTTATTCAGGCAACGTACCCCACGGACATGACATAACTAATATGTACAAGACATACAGAGATCATCTCAATGAGTCTGTCTCGTATGAACATGAGTCCAGACTCTCTGGCCTCCCTCTCCCTCGTCTTCTCTCTCTGAGCCGCATCCAGGAAACTGCCCTGCTCTCGGTTTATGGCTGGAGGAGAGGAGGAGGAGAGGGGGAGGAGAAGAGGAGGAGAGGAGGAGAAGAGGAGGAGAGGAGGAGAAGAGGAGGAAAGGGAGAAAGAAAAGGAGGAGGAGGGGGGAAAGGGAGCATAATAGTTTGAAGAGGTGCATTTGCCATTTCAAACAAATAAACGAAGCAGGTTCTTCTTTCCGGGCTCAAAAAAAAGTGGCTCAGTGTGGTATCCCAAGTATTAATTCACACTCACCTCTCTCTGACTCGTCCATCTCAAAGTAGTGCACCATAACCAGATTAGAGTCTTCTGCCCACGAAACCTTCTTCTTCCTCTTGCTCCCCTCCTCCCCTGCAGGGACAGACGTGGTGAGCAGTTCGACACCAAACATTGTAGACTATGTGGCATGTGTAGCACCCGTACTGTATGTAAGCTATTTATATACTCGTTATTCATTATGTAATCTCCTGGTCAAAAAGTGTATGCACGTGGAAAATAATCAAATCTGAGGGACTCAGCCAGAGTCACAGTATAGAGAGAGAAAAAGATGAGTGTTGTCACGTGCAAGGCTGGTTCTACAAGAAAGATGGAACTCTAAATAAAGGACACCTCTGTAAAAATATGGAACTCTAAATAAAGGACACCTCTCTCTGTAAAAATATTGAACTCTAAATAAAGGACACCTCCGTAAACATATGGAACTCTAAATAAAGGACACCTTTCCGTAAAAATATGGAACTCTAAATAAAGGACACCTCTCTGTAAAAATAACGACTCTGATAAAGGACAATTTTCATGGTATGTACCAGCAATTGAGCAGGTTATCAAGGAAGATTTCCACGGTCCCAGCATTATTTTGAGCAGGCCAGAATTGGACATGTGGTCATATGTACCTTTCTGGTCACTGGTGGGTGTGCCGGTATCCATTGGTTCCTGTGGTTCAGCAGATGTTGGGGTCGGGCTATCAGCCTCCCCCGCGACAACACCACCTGATCCAGTCTTTGACACCAGGGACAGCGCCTTGGGCTGCTTGCACACACACACACACACACAAATATGTTGACATGCTTTGCTTCATATGTTCATTGATTCATGGACATGACGTAAAGGTCAGGCTCTAAGGACTTGCTTGCATTACACTTGGTATGTGTTGTGGAAAGTTATGTAATTAATTTCGTGGAGCAAAATTTCGTGAATGAATCCAAAAAATGTCATTATTGTGGTATGCATCTGTGAGGTGCTTGCTATATTCGCAGGCGTACTGACAGTAGATACATACTTTGCTGATCTTTCTTTTCTTCTCCTTCATCTTGGCGGCCTGTGAGCTGAGAGCGTTCATGAAACCCTCGCTCTCCACTGGACCTTTTCCCTTCATCTTCTCCTCTGTATTGTATATATTTGTTGGATATCCCTAGGCAACCGACATGTATGAAGCTAGGTACTAGGGGATTGTATCAGCCTATACAATCCTACATGTGCAAGAAGGGTTCATACATGTCGTTTGCCTAGGGATATCTGTTGTATATCCAACAAATCTGTTGCAGTGCCCAGACAGGACAGCATTCGCCCTTACTGGGCTCATGCTGTCCTGTCTGGGCACTGCAACATATACACACAGTCATGATGGAACACAGTAATAAAGACTCATACTATCTTATGATATACAACATGATTGCGTGGAAGATCAGAAAGTTTTGTAGCCAATGGTGACTTTTCACTAGATCTCTTCTATGCATAATATGGCATTATACTATGTACGTACACATACACACATGGACACACCTGAGTTGGATAGCAGTTTGTTTTTCTTCTCAACTGGGGGCTGTCCCTTGAGGGGGAAATCCCTATGAGAACCGAAGATAACAACACACTAAATGTGGAACTATTAATCAATTTGAGGGAAAGTAGTGCATTATAAGTAATGATCACAGAGGACGTTTGGCATTGAACCAAACGGAGTCATGGAGTTTTGTCATAAAAGCACATTGTTTCATAGCCCGAGCCAGTGTCAGGAGAGCAGAGCACACTACACCAGGCTACATATATATACACGTCTATGTCTGTAATGTCATACACCTTGGGCACACGTGCGTTTCTGTTGACATGTAAAACACCACATAAACAGGTAATAAAGCGACATCACCTCCTATGTAACCGTATCTACTTGTTATACAGACCCCTTTTATCGGTACAAAGCCAACAGCACACTGTCTGTGAGACTTATCATAACGACTGAGATTTCCCGGTCTTTTATTCGAATGTGTGCTACAGTAGACACCTACATATGTAGAGCAGCACTGTATGAGTTGATGTGAGTGTATGACACTTTGGCTGAACCTCGATGAACAAAGTAATACAGACACACAAACACACAGAGAGAGAGAGAGAGAGAAATGAGAGTCCGGAAACGTGTGTGTGACGGTGGTTTGTACACGGCACTGTAGACCGGTAGACGGACACGTGGGGGGGGAGGGAGGGGAGGGAGACAATAGGAGACGTGTGTGCGAGTGGTTCCCGTCTCAAAAACGGACCTGGGTCTCTTCAGGGGTTTATCGCGTCGTCCCAGAGCCACCAGTGGTCCCGGGGGAGGCTTGGATTCCACGGGGGGCAAATTTACGGCCCCCTTCGAAGACTTGTCTTTCTTCTTTGACGGCTTGTCCTTCTTGTCCTTGTCGTTCTTGGTGGGTGTGGAGGGTGCACTATCTTGAGACTTGGTTGCGGCCGTCGACGATGCGGCAGTTTTTTCCTCCTTTTCTTTCTCGGGAGTGTCTGAGGCGGAGCCGGCTGGCCGAGACTTTGTGGCTGTGGGAGGAAGGGAAACACATGCAGAACCATAAAAGGAGAACCCAGACCATGTGATGCCAAGAGAAAAAAAGATGCGGAGCTATGCACACTTTCTCAACACTGAACGTGTAAGTGGACAATATATACGTACATGGTTCATGCCAATCGTGACATGGACACAGAAATGTAGCATATACAAGTCGGCTAAAATGACATTAGTGAATAACGCAGATTTTTTCTTTTTCTTCACAGGAAGGAAGAGACGTCTATCTGAAAAATAGCCATCTACTTTATAATGGCCAAAAGCCATCAGGTCTGGCTGAAACAGCTCTTCATAGTGGCAATGTCGGTCTTCCCCCGCATGTGAACATCCACGTAAGGCGGAAAGTACCCAGAAATGTGCGTGGAACACTAAAAAACCGACTGTTTTCACACAAATAAGCGGAAGTTTACATGCTACCTTCCTTGTAAGTTTCCGGAACTATATAGTCCTCTTTGGCTTACGAAAGGCAACTACATGATTTGTGTCAGTAGGCTTTGTGTCACGAAGCGTGAATCTGCACCAAAAAATGCTCTATGCGAAGTTAGTGTAGAAAAATTGTGGTTTTAGCATTCATCGTATCCATAGGCACACAAAAAAACAGTATTTCCAGAACAGAACGGGCGGATTTCAAGCGAAGGTAAACAAATACTCGGACCTTATCTGTTGAAATCCGGGGGGAAATTGCCAACAGATACTACATTCCATGTGCACAGACACAGTTGACTAACTTTCTTGACAAGTAAAAGAAGAACAAAGCTGGTCAGGAAGCACAACAAATGTTAAAACAAAATTATTCACGATATAATTTTTTTATCAAAAACACTATCACGAAAGGTTTTGTTACGTAAGTTAACTGCAATAGGGAACAGTCAAAATCTACTACATACAAACAATCTCAAGATAGAAACAACTTAAAGCCGGGTAATGTATAATATATACCTGCTTGTCCCTCTTTGAAGATGGCCATCCATTTGGACAAAAGATCACACGCCAAATCCTTTACCTCTGCAAAAAAAGACACACGCCTTCACACACTGCAGTGGGCTTAGCCCCTTGGCTTCTACACTATAATTTGGCACGCAAAGCAAGAACTATGCAGTTAGGCTCCAATGTCCAAGCGGCAAGGGTCATGCTATGTATAGCATAGGCATACTGTGTACATACACATTGTACAACCCTTTAGATTACATGTACATGTATTGTTTGGTTCTTGTGTACTATAGGAGACTGACCTGGATGTTCCTGTTTTGATAGCTGCTTGATCAGTTTGCCCATGTTGCCCTGTTTCAGAGCTGCCACACTCACTGGCAGTTTCTGCAGTACCTAATGTACACACACAATGCAGGGGGGGTCATCATATATGAGAGCAAGGAAAGTGTCGAGCAAAAATAAGGCACCCATACCCAGGAACACACTTTCGTTCCAAATGGGCAAGTACACATCAAACCGACCCCCACGGCAAAACAATAGGGCGGCACTAAGATAATTTATCCCAATGTATGTACTACCGTACACATAGCAGAATGTTTTTGATGAGCCAAGGTAAAAATTCTCAAAATTGCAGCTAGTCCCCAAACCACGAAAATGATAAACATAACAAATGTGACAGGCTCTGAGAAACTACAACAATACTACGTGTGCCATAAGGGTCGTTTTCTCAGAAATGTGCGTGCGCACACGCATGCACACACACACACCTGTAAAACCCCGACAAGATGGCAAAACACTCGCAAGCGGAAGTGCAGACGGTACAATTCTTCTCTGGGATACGCAACAGTAGGAACACCGCTTTAAAAGAAAGACAAAGGAGATGCAATCGATGAAAAAGATAGGACTGTTCTCCATAGCCCTCCTGTTAATTGTGGGGTTTCTGGTAAATGGAAGCCTTGCACAAGATTACACACAATGGCACTTACCCGAAGGCGCGAAAATGCGACTCGGAAAAAGGTAAAATAAATGATGTGAAGTTTTCACTTGATGGCGACCTGTTAGCGGTAGCGACCGATATCGGTGTTTGGCTGTATGACGCGCACACCGGCGCGGAAATTGCGCTACTCAACAAAAAACCAAAAAATGTCAGAATAGTGGTTTTCTCACCAGACGGCAAAACACTTGCTACTGGCGGTCGGTCCCGGGAAGGCGCAATTCAATTATGGGATACTGCCACCGGCACACACATATCTACTATAGGCAGAGGTATAGGTTCAGTTAGGGTTTTAGTATTTTCGGAGGATGGTAAAACGCTGGCGAGCGCCGGTTGGGGTAGAGAAACCATGTTTTATGTATGGGATGTAGATACAGGACGTGAGGTTTCACACTTCGTAGGACAGCAAGATTCAATCAATGGTGACGCATTAGCAGTGTCACCGAATTACCGTTTCGTTGCAAGTGCTGGTAGAAACAAGGTGTTTATATGGGATACGTTAGCCGGAATCCTGAAACATACCATAGAAGGCGATGAAGATCTCGCTTGGTCTTTGGCTTTCTCACCAGATAGCAAAACACTTGTTGGTGGACGCACGACGATCCGATTATGGGATGTAGAAACCGGCAATCAAATGTCCAGACTGGATGGCCACACCCGCACGGTTTATGCTCTCACTTTCTCACCAGATGGAAAAACCTTAGCAAGCGGTGACACCAGTGGAGATATCCGATTGTGGAATATTGATGCCGGCGGTGATCAACTTACGCTACCGCGCCTGCTGGGCACTATTACCGGCAAACGGTTATCGGACAGCCGCATCCTTACTGAACATAAACGTCCCATTAAAGCTTTAGATTTCACTGCAGACGGGACAACCTTGGTCAGTGCAAGTCGTGACAACTCCATCAGATTATGGGATGCTGACACGGGAAACTCGCGTCTAATGACGAAAGGACACACAGAACCGATCATCGCGCTCGGTTTTCTCGAAGATGGCAAAACACTTGCGAGTGGCAGTTTCGACTGTACACTCCGATTATGGAACACTGAAGCCAAAGATCAGCAACTCATTCCGGTCAAACATCGGTGGTTCGCTTTCGGTTTCGCTTTCTCTCAAGACGGTAAAACGGTAGCCATTGGGAGTGTTGGCGATGATGTCCGATTGTGGGATGTAGATACAAAAGAGTTTTTCGCTACTTTCAAAACAGCACACAAAGGCTTTATCGATGAGCTTGCATTCTCCCCAAACGACCAGATTCTTGCCAGTGGGAGTCGTGGTGGAACAGTCGAATTGTGGGATGTGCTGAACCATCAGCGTATTGCTACACTACAAGGCCATACGGACGAAATTAGGGCGTTGACGTTCTCACCCGATGGAAAAACCGCTGCGACTGCAGCGAAAGGCGAGACAATTATTGTATTATGGGATACTATAGACATTGGCGTAAAAGGGTTCTATGGCAGAAGACATCACTGAAGCTGGCGCATTGACATTCTCACCGGATGGAAAAACAATTGTCAGTGGGCATAGAGACGGGGGCATCTATTCATGGGGATGTCGCAACCGCAAGCAACTCTTAACTTTTACGGGAAAAGCCAGTAGCGTCACTGCTTGGTGTTCTCCTCAGACGGAAAAATGTTCGCAACCGGCAGTGTAATGGTGGTCTATAAGGCTATGGTCCGCAGCACATATACACGATAGGAGACCCACTCATAGGGCACGTCGGTCGTATCAATGAACTCACATTTTCACCGGATGGTGGCACGCTTTTTAGCGGCGGTTCCGATGGCACAATCCTTTTCTGGGATATGGCGGATATCATTCACGCCGATAAGTAATCGCGGGGAAAAGACTACGAAAAATTCCCGCTTTCCTCATTTGTAAAACTCCCATTAAAAAAAAGGGGTTAAAATGCTTAAAAAATCGTTGTTCTTCAGTATTGCACTACTGTTAATTACGGCGCTCTTGTCAAACGGGAGCCTCGCGCAGGACCAGATACAAGAGCACTTTTCTGAAGGCGCGAAAATGCGACTCGGAAAAGGCAGAATAAATGAAATCAAGTTTTCGCCGAATGGCAAGCGGTTCGCAGTCGCAACCGCTATCGGTATCTGGATGTATGATGCCCATACCGGGGAGGAACTTTCCCTACTCGCTGTGTTACCCGGGGAAGGGCGCGAGGTCATAACTATAGCGTTTTCACCGGACGGACGCACACTTGCCAGCGGCGAGTTAGGCGGTGCTGGTAGGCTGTGGGATGTAAATACGGGTAAGTCGATAGTCACTTTCAAAGAGGTTCCAAGACCACGATACCCGGATCTTAGAGCACTCGTTTTCTCTGAAGATGGCACGAAACTTATAGGAGCAAGCTGGAATAATGAAATTAGTGTGTGGGAACTTGGCGAAAACACAAAACCACCAACTATTTTGCACATGGATGGACGGGAAGCAAGTTGGTCGACCACTTCATTGATGCAACTCTCACCAAATGAGGGCTTCCTTGCAGTTGCAGATCCAAGTGCACAAGCATGGAAAAATAAAAATTTCCCAATCCAATTGTGGGACGCTACCACTGGAAAACAGTTACCCACCTTAACCGGACACACACGATGGATTAAGTCGATAGCATTCTCAGCCCGATAGTAAGACACTGGTGAGCGGCGACGAATACGAAACGATTCGGCTATGGGATACTGCGACGGGGAAACTACAGTCTACATTGAACTGGAGACGCGGATCTGCAACATACACGTTAGAATTTTCACCAAACGGTAGATTCCTCGCAAGCGGACATCGCGATGGTGTCAAGTTATGGGATAACACCGTCAAACCGAAACAACAAGCGGACGACGCTATTGGTAATTATCAGCACAGTTTAGAGATTCACGGACATAAAGATTACGTCTATAAGTTGGCATTCTCGCCCGACGGAAACACACTGCTCGCCGGAAGTAAAGACGGTACGATACAAGCGCGGGATACCACGACCGGTAACCACCGTTTTACGTGTACAGGACATATCGAAGGCACCCAAGAATTAATGTTTTCTCAAGATGGAGACACCCTCATCAGCCTGAATCAGCCATTCAATCCGCCGGGGATCTTTCAGCAACACCGATGGGATGTCAACACAGGGGACCAACTGTCCACCCGTCTTTTGGGTATAGATGCAGCCAGTATGATGCTGTCCCCGGATGGTAAAATGCTTGCTGCGCACGCCTTCGGCAATAAATGCGTTCTATGGGATATTAACACTGACCCACCACATATCATTGACCGACTTACTTTGGACGGGTACCCGAGGTCCGGCTTGAATGTCAAATTCGCATTCTCCTCAGATGGCAAAATGTTGGCAGCTGGCGGTGAAGACAACTTAGTTCACGTGTGGGAGCTTACCGATTCCAGAAAGGTTCGACATCGGTTTACAGTCAAGGGACATAAACACTGGCTTCGTACGTTGGCGTTTTCACCAAATGGAAAGATGCTTGCAAGCGGCGGTGAAGGCAGAACACTCTGTTTATGGCGCGTGGCAGACGGCACCTTGCTTTTTACATCCACAGCACATAAGGCGTGGGTCAATGCAGTCGCATTTTCACCCGATGGGAAAAATACTCGCAAGTGGAGGTAATGAACTCTTTTTATGGGACACTGCAACCGGTGTCCAACTGCGTCCAAGCCATCGGCGGTTGAGTGCACGGATATCAACTTTGGTTTTTTCACCGGACGGCAACACGCTTGTTGCTGGGAATTGGGACGGCATCATCGAATTGTGGGATGTCCGCACGGGTGGACTTTTGTCCACCCATACCGGACACACACGGTGGGTCAACGTGTTGAAATTCTCTCCAGATGGCAAAACACTCGTTAGTGCCAGTAGTTGGGGTACAACCCTCCTCTGGGATTGGGAAACACTCAAGAAAACGGATGATAGGTGATGATTACAAGCCTCAGCGCGAAGAAAAAGTCCCGCCATTTGTCCTACATCTCCGCTAACTTCTTCTGAAGCCAGCGCGTCATCGGTGCCTGCTCTGGATCGCAGACTTCAATGAAATGTCCCGGCAACGGTTGACCGATCAATGCCTCAACATCTCGCCGCCGATCTGCGACAACTGCTGGATGCGAACTCGCGACGTTCACTTTCTCTTCAGGATCGTTCCGAACATCAAAGAGCTCATCACCTTTCTCATCTTTATAGCCTACCGAAGTGCAGAAGTTCCAGTGGTTATCGCGCACACTGACGCGTCCGCGTGCATTACCCGTAGCAAATCCAGCCCAACCTGTGATAATCCGATCTCGGAGAAATGCTTTCTCCTGCGTAACGAGTTGCCACATATCTTCACCATCCGTCCAAGCGCACGGAATGTCAAGCTGATTTAGGAGCGTCGGCATCAGGTCGTGGTTCTGCACAAACGCAAAAATTTCCTTGTCATTCGGTCCATCCGGATGTCGGATCATCAAATTCAACTGCGTGTTAAACGGATGTAGTTTGTTCGCGCCCTTCCCGAAACTCCCGTGGTCGCGGAGTTGCGTGCCGTGGTCGGACATCAGCACAATCAGTGTATCGTCTTTGATGTTCAACTGCTCTATCTTATCAAGTAGCACGCCGACCCATTTATCGACAAATGTGACTTCTCCGAGATAGAGTGCCTCAATACGGCGCAGTTCATCTTCCGTAGGACCGTCGCCTTCATTCGCGCTGCCCGATGTGATGAAATCCTTACCGGAATAGTCAGGAAAAATAGAGGTCTGCATAGGATTTCGGCGGATCCCACGGTTCATGGGGGTCAAAACTATCCAC